CCTTCCTTCCTTCCTTCCTTCCTTCCTTCCTTCCTTCCTATGTAGCTGCCCATTTCACATGTGTGATCCTGGGCAGTTCACCGCATTAAAACAACCAATAAACAAAATACAAAAGTCCTAAAAAAACAATCAACTCCTCTAAAACCCAATGGAAACCAACATTTAGAACCGGAGAATATAACAAGCAGGCAAGTGCAAGTCAAATGTCAACCAGCACAGCACCTTAGCAGGCTTCGAATCACACAGCTGGATCCCCAGGCACCTTGATATATTAGTTGATAAAGCATCCCCCAATTGTTTGCTGCATCTCCCAGAACTGTGGGAGTGGGCCTAAACTCATTTTGTGTGGGAGTTCTGTGGCCGGCAGGGCAGGTGCCCCGAGGTAACTGCCAGGGACTGCCGAGAGTGGCCAAGCCAGTTGTGATTAGGTTGTCCCCCACCTAAGCTTGATCCCTGCTTAGCTTCAACAGACCTAATAGCATCATGTGCTTTTAGTCCATTGTCTGGACATTCTTCCTCAGCCATTCATCTTCTCCGCTTTTATACCCTTTCTCTACTCCCCTAGGCTGTTTGCAGAAGGCCTTTTTAGCTCTTTCCTCTTCTGCTGTGTTGCCATCACAGACATGTTTGTTTAAAAATCTATACCTCCAGGGTACTCTCAGCAATAAACAGTAAATCTTTCTCTTTAAGACCTCAACTCTACGTCCTTTCCTCCTGGTATATATATAGAGAGAGAGACTATTGCAGTTTTGGCTTCTATGAGGTCTAGATTCTGTCAGCCTCTGCCCTCTGGATAAATTATTTCTGATTATGTCAGGCAGAAGGATAATCTGCTGGACTTCATTCTTGGTAGTCTGGTCCAAAAGCCCCCCCACCCTTAAAAACAGTGAGAGGGTGCTTAGCAGCTCCTGAGCAGGTTTGTGGTGAAGATGCCTGGCCTACAAATATCTCTGAGGTAAACAAAAGGCATTGAATGGAAGCACATTTGTTTCTCCTTCTCATTCTGCTTCATTTTACGTCTCTTCCCAGTGATTTGGTTCAAAAACATACTATTGGTAATCCTAGACCAGGGGTAGGCAACCTTGGCTCTTTTATGACTCATGGACTTCAACTCCCAGAATTCCTGAGCCAGCCATGCTGCAGGGAAAGGGAGAGGTTTCCATGCTGGGCCATGATGGGTGAGGAATTCTGGGAGTTGAAGTCCACCCATCTCTGAGTGGCCAAGGTTGAGAAATACAGGCCTAGGCCAGGGGTAGGCCATCTTGGCTCTTTTATGACTGGTGTACTTCAACTCCCCGAATTCCTGAGTCAGCCATGCTGAGGAGGAAGGGAGAGGTTTCCAAGCTGAGCCATGCTGGCTCAGGAATTCTGGGAGTTGAAGTCCACCCATCTCCGAGTGGCCAAGGTTGAGAAATACAGGCCTAGGCCAGGGGTAGGCAACCTTGGCTCTTTTATGACTCGTGGACTTCAACTCCCAGAATTCCTGAGCCAGCCATGCTGAGGGGAAAGGGAGAGGTTTCCAAGCTGAGCCATGCTGGCTCAGGAATTCTGGGAGTTGAAGTCCACCCATCTCCGAGTGGCCAAGGTTGCCTACCCCTGTCCTAGACTTACAATTGGTTGTTTAATGGCCGTTCAAAGTTACTACAGGCCCGAGAAAAAAAAGCACTTATGACTAAGGTGACCAATTGTCCTCTTTTAGGGAAGACAGTCCTTCTTTTGTAAGTTCTGTCCTCTCTTGAAAAGTGTCCTCCTACATGTCCTACTTTTCGATATGTGAAGACTAATCTGTAAATCTCTGTACTCGATCGATGCCGATCCGATCCGTTGCGTGTGATGTGATGTATTTGTATTTGACATGACGATTCGTCAAGGCTCGGTACAGTGTGGCGAGACGCGATTATGAGACGCATGTGCTCCGCACAGGAGAACTGTTTTGAGAGAGTGCGCCGCGTGCAAGAGTGCGCCGCACGCAAGTGGCTTTGTTTACTTCTTACCGAAACATGACACAGCACATACGCACGCATTAGACTCACTTTTTTTCTTCAATTTATTTGTGTCCTCCTTCTCATTGTAAAAAAGTTGGCCACCTTACTTATGACCCAGTTCTGATGGTCACTCGGCAACCGAGCCCCAATTATGCCTGTTTGCTGTGTCTTGCAGTCAAATGTCCACATTTTAAAACTGGCATTTATTTCCAGTTTTTAGCAGAATCAGTCCACAGCAAACAATTGGTTTGCTTTACGACTGTGGCATTCGTTTTACGACTAGTGACCACAACAAAAATGGTCATAAAATGTGGTTGGTCACATGGGTGACCTGTCTTATGATAGATACCACTTACAACCAGGCCATTATGGTTGAAAGTCAGTTGACTACCTGTAGACTAAATTAAAAATTAAGGTGAGCAAATTAATAGTGTAGTAGCACAGGGGAACCAGGCTATTAGGTGAAATTACAGAGCTTTACGTGAACACAGCACAATTTGTAGATCTCGCCAGTAGGTTGAAATTTTAAAGTTATTTGGGATGGCGTTCTAATTCTTATTTATAAAAGGGTTATTTATATTATGTTTTTTTTAAAACTACCTTTAGGCCATCTTTTAGGGCACAAAGCCCCTTCAAGGCAGCTATTAAAGTAGGGTAAAACAGTGGGACAAAATAAACATTAGAATTAGTACAATGCAGTGATGACAATAAATGTCACACCCAAAAATACCGAGACCAGAAAAACACTGTAGTAAAAAAAAAACAACCACAAAAATGAAGAGAAACACATGGAAAATAAGTGGAAATCCCCCCCCCCCGAAATCTTGGGAAATAGCAGATCTGCCTTTTAGCTCTTTATTTTCTTCTTTTGATTTCTGTCACAATCATGATTTGGGAATGATCATCAGGAGCTAAGTAGTTAGTTATAACATTTGTAAAACTGTTTGTTTTGAGGAAACAATGATGCAAATGTGTAAGGAAGACACTCTGCTGTACGTAGTTTCGTTTTTAGAGAGATACTGGAAGTGGTTAAATCTCCAGTTGCAATCTTGCACAGTTTTGAGAGTAAAACCCCAATGACTGCTGCAAGGTGTCATTCTCAACATACATACCCACGAGAACCTGCCATCCACACCAGGAAGGATTTGATTCCTTCTGATGTTGCTTCATCTATGCCAAGAGGAAAAAAGAAACAGGGGTGACATGATAGCAGTATCATTTGAGGGGCTGCCACAAAAAAGAGGGGGTTAAATTATTCTCCAAAGCACCAGAGGGCAGGAGAAGAAACAATGGTTGGAAACTGATCAAAGAGAGAAGCAACCTGGAATTAAGGAGAAACTTCCTAACAGTGAGGACAATTAACTAGTGGAACAGCCTGCCTCCAGAAATTATGGGCACTCCATCACTGTAAGTTTTTAAGAAGAGACTGGACAGACGCTTGTCTGAGGTGGTATAGGTTCTCCTGCTTGAGCAGGGAGCTGGACTAGAAGGTCCCTTCCAGATCCTATCCTATCCTATCCTATCCTATCCTATCCTATCCTATCCTATCCTATCCTATCCTATCCTATCCTATCCTAATACTTTCTCCCTGACTCCAAAATGTGGTCCTGCAATCTTTTCTCAGAGCAGTAAATTCTGCCATTCCTCGTTTGGACCCTATAAATTCCACATTTTGAAAAGGGCCTACTGATAAGCACACAGGCTTAACATCTGCATACAGGTAGTCTCGCAACTTACAGCAGTTCATTTAGTGACTCTTCGAAGTTACAACAGCACAGAAAAAAGTGACTTATGAACGTTTTTCAGAGTTACAACCTTTGCAGCATCCCCATGATTATGTGCTCAAAATTCAGACGCTTGGCCACCGGTTCATACTTATGACTGTTGCACCATCCACCGGGGGTCACGTGATCCCCGTCTGCAACTTTCTGACAAGCAAAGTCAATGGGGGGGGGGAGCCAGATTCACTTAACCACCAGGGTTCCTAAGTTAATCAACTGCCGTGATTCACTTAACAACTTTGGCAAGAAATGTCATAAAAGCGGGGCCAAACTCACTGAACGGCAGAAACGTTGGGCTCAACGGTGGTCATAAGGCGAGGACTGCCTGTTGTTTATGGAGTTATGAAATTCGTTTTCCCCTGGTGTAAATAAGGCATAAGGTTGCCAAGCCTTGTTATTTTCTTCTTTTTGTTTCAAAGGTTCACACACCTTAAGCCCGTGCAAGGAGTCGTGGGGAAGTTGGCCCGGGTTCACGGGTGCGTTTCTGGGCATCCTCCCACCACCCCTATCCTCCTCCTCCTCCTCGCCCGCCCCCGGCCCTGCAAACGGCCATCCCACCCAAGGTGCCGCCCGCCGCCCCTTTAACTCCCCCCCCGTCGTGAGGCCTGTGGGCGGAGCCGAGGGAGGCTGAGGCGGGCTCAGCGTGTCTATGGCGACGCGGCGGTGACGTGCGACGGGGGGGCGTGGGCGTCCCGGCTCCATATGAAGCGGAGGGGGGGGAAACGAGGGGGGCCAGAGCCCGAGACCGACCCGGCGGCTGGAGGCTGCGGCGCGAGGAGCCATGAAGACCCCGGCGGACGCAGGTGGGGACTGCCGGAGGGTCCCACGCTGATGCTTCGGGGGGCTTCGGGGGGGGGGAGGCGGAGGGGGGGTCTGTCGGTGGATGACCACCAGGACACGTGGGCTGGAAAGTTGGAGGGGATGCGAGCAACTTACTTCCATCTTCCCCCCCCCCCGCGTCCTCTGCTCTGCCCCGCCGTTCTCGGGCGTCGGGGGGGGGGGAGGCGACCCGGGGCGGAGGGGGGGGACTTTTGGGGAGCCCTTCGGGGGAATGAATGGGGCGCGGGGACGAGGAAAGCGGGGGGCGGAGGGATGGCGAGATCGAGGAGCCGACGGGGGAGGGCCGGAGGGGCTCCATAAAAAAAACCAACTCGGGGAACATCCAAGTGGAGGAAGGGGGGGCTCCTCCAAAGCGGAGGGGGGGTCTTCTTTCTCCCCCCCCCCTCGGCCTCACCTGCGCTCTCGGAGCCGCTGGGTGTGCGGCGGCTGATGGGGATTGTAGTCCGCCGACCGGGCCCTCACCAAATGGGGTGGGGAGGGGGCTTCTTGGAGAGGAAGCGGCCGGCGCCTCCGCTCCGGAGCGGGACGTGCTGGCGGGAAGGGAAAGAGCCGCGGCGGCGGCTTCGCCTGCCGTCTTGGGTGCCGCCGTAATGGAGGTTCCTGCTGGGAAAGGGTGGGGAATGGTGCTGCGGGCGAGGTCCCCGGCTCTTGCGCTCGCCTCCCTCCCCCCCTTCCCGGCCGCTTTCCCGGCCGCCTGCCTGCCTGCTTAGGCTCGGGCTCCGGCCGCGAAAGGAGACGGGCAGGAGTTGGAGCAGCCCCCGGGAGGAAGCGCTCGGCCAGGCCGGCCGGAGAGGGAGGCGGCCGGGGACTCAGCCCGCTGCAAAGCCTCGGAGTTTGTGAGCGGACCTGTTGCATTTCTTTGCCTGCCCGGCTGCTCCTCCTCCGGGCTCGGCTTTGCAAGTCGCCTTTGGGAGCGAAGGATCGGCTACCGGAGCCCAGGCGACCCCCCCTTCCAAGACTTCGAAAGGGAAGGGGGGGCGGTGAATAATGGGGTGGCTTTCCGAAGGGGGCGAGCCGAAGTGGGGGGCCACTTCGCCTGCTGCACCCTCGAACCCCCCCTCCTTTCTCCCCCCCCATGCGGCCGCCACCGGTTCTGCAACGAGCCTCGCGGGCTCTTTGAGGGGGGGCCGGGGAATGAATGGGGTGGCGGAGTTGATTCGAGGGGGGGTGGTGGATCGCATTTGGGGAAAGAAAAGGCCTCGGAGGATCGACACTCTGTTCCCCCCCCCCCCAATGCCGCCAATCAACGAGGACGGTAGTTTCCTTCTGTCAACTTCTGGCGCTTGAGCGAGAAGGAAATAAATCCAGATTTGTGCTTGTGTGTGTGTGTGTGTACACGGAGGGGGGGATTTGCTGATTTCAAAGAGTGTTGCACGGAGACGGAGCGCCACGTTGCTGCTCCGCGCAACGAGTTGAAGCGTCCATAGTGAAGCGGGGGGGGGGGAAAGAGAGGAAATCTGGAGGCAGAAACAACTCGCTTCCTAGTGAATCTGGCCGATCGCGGGGGCTCCTTCCCCCCCCAGCCCTCCCCTCTTATCAGCAACGCGGAAGCGCTGCACAACTCTCCCCGCCTTGGCTAAGAGGGTCCGGGGAGGGGGCGGCAGGGGCTGTGGCTGCTCTTCGGTGGGGAAGGAGAAGCCAGAGTGTGATTGGTATATATATTTTTTTTCCTCCACCCCCCCTTTTTTTTTTAAAAAAAATCCCCTAAATATTGTGGGCTGTTCTCCATGGTTGTTAGTGTGGCCTGTACAGCTGGGGGGGGGGTGTTGATTGCAGAGGGGGCGGAGAGCGGAGAAAAAGTTGCAAAGCTTTTCCGAACTGGAAATCGGGCGTTTCAGAAAACACACACACAAAAGCAACTTTTGTTTCCGACCAACAACGTGACGTTAATGGGGGGGGGAAGGCGGACCGGAGTGGGCCGGGGATGCATGAAAAATCTGCTCCCCCCCCGTCCCAAATCTAAAGCAGGAGCGTGCTAAAGGAGCCAGGTAGATTAAGATCAAAGGGTGTGTGTGTGTGTGTCTGTGTGTAAACGGGGCAAACGGCCGAGATTTCTTTTAACTTTAACAAAAAGTTGCGGCGACCTTAAATCTAACTTCGGTCTTGCGGGGGGGGGGGCGAAGAAAAGGGTGGCGGCGGGTTTTAAACTCTAACCTTAAACCCGGGACTTTAACCCTTCTTTTTAAAAAGAAAAGAAATCGGAGAGGGGGGTGGGCTTTTGCAAAAAAAACAAGTCCCGCTTTGCTTCAAATCCAAGCCAGGCCGACTTCCCACCTCGGCTGGCTTTAAGTAGTAGTTTCCCCGAGCCCCGGGGGTGGAGTAACGGAGTCCGCCTCGACCCGCGGAGGGTTTTTTTCCTCCTCCCGCGGGGTTGGGATGGGGTGGCGCTTACCCTGGATTCTTGGCGGAGGGCGCTTTTGAAAACGGCTTTGGAGGAACTTCCGCGGCGGACGAGTTTTTTTTTTTCCCCTCCCTCCCCTTTCCTTTTTAAGAAGACGAGGGGTCTCGGTGGACTTTGCACCGGGAAAGGGGGCTGGGTGGAGAGAAGGAGAGAAAGCTGCGTTTGCATTAAGAGGTGGAGGACCCGTTTGTTTGAAAATGGCTTTAAAAGAAAAAAAAAGATCCTTTAGGGGGGGCTGGGGGTGGATAAGAGGTTCCCCCCCTTTTCCTTTTTGCAAAAGGCTCGGGAAGAATTGAATAGATTCTTTCCTCTCTTCTCCCCCCCCCTTTCTCTCTCTCTCTCTCTCTCTCTCACTCACTCTGGTTTTGTTCAGTGCTTCCACCCCATCCCCCCCTGGCGCCACCTCCCCCCCTCCCTTGCCTGATTGTCTGTCTCCTGGAATCTTGTGTGTGTGTGTGTGTGTCTTTTTTTTTTTGTTTAAGTGCCTCTTGCTTCTGTTCAGGCTTGCCTTCCTTTTTGCAATCATCCAGGCCGCTGCAAACTTTTTTTTTCCGCCTCCTTTCCCCCCCCCCCAAACTTGGGGAAAGTTACTTTCTTTCAGGCGCAGGTTTAAAACACACACACACACACCAGAGCAAAAAAAAAAAAAACTCAACAAAAACAGCCACCCCTAATAATAATTCCTTGGGCCTCGCCCAGACTGCTAACAAAATAAATCTGCAGCATAGCAACTCTCCCAGGCTGGACCCCCTCCCCACAAAGAGCACCCAGGCAGGGCTGTGTCCCCTCCCTCCTTCCTGGATCTTTGCAGCCACCCTTCATTTTTCCAGATTCTGAAACACTTTTTTTTTCTTTCCAAAATTGTGTGTCTGTGTGTGTTTTCAGCCAAAGCTTTGGGAGTGTGTGATGATGGGAAAAGGGGGCATACAAAACAGTTGTCTGGTACATTGTGTGGTGTGGGATTTTTGATTTTTTTTTGGGGGGGTGACTCCCTCCCTTTGGCACACTGCAAGCCAAAAGTCTCTGATGTGGGTTCCTTTTGCCTGTGTGAAGGCCCCCCCCCCCATCAAAGGCAGAGAATGGTGTGCTTGTGTGTGTATCTTTAAGACGCTGTTGGCATTGGGGAGTGATGTAATATTAAGGGTTTTTTTTTTTTCCTTCTTCTTCTTCTAAAGCTGGGATTGAATTCCAGCCCTTTTAGCTTCTGGCTCCGGGGATTAGTCACAGGGGTGGTGTGGTTTAGAGTGTGTTAAGGAGGGGGCATGATTTAAAGAGACACCAACACGATTCGCCTCCCCCCTCTTCCTCCCTTTTTTTTTGTTTTGTTTATTTTTTATTTTTGTCTGGCTGCGCACATCATCTTCCAGGAAATCCTCAACAAATAATTACGGTCCAAAATAGACCCTCATTCTTAGGGAAGGTGAATCCTGCAGAACTGGCTTTGAGTTAGTAAGCCAGACAGAAAATGGGGGGGGGGCGGAGGGGGGGGAGAGGAGGAAAGTGTCTTAAGATGGAGTCCCCTTTCAGCTGAGGTTTTGAAATTTAACATATACATATATAAATATTAAACTCTGGCACATCCAAGAGCCGTTTGAGCCCACAGACACTCAAGCTCCCACACAGGCGCTCTGGTGGAAAATATGAACTGCCGGGCAGAAAGCCTGCTGTAAAAAAAAAAAAAAAAAAAGTTGGACTTCGGGATTGGAAACACTCGCCGCATTGTGTGGCGGGCGCGTAGCTGTGCTCACACCAAAGCGGGGCCCCTTGTTACACTCAGCCCTTCCACTGAGTAACTTTGGAAGGCTTGCATCCCATCCTGGGATAGGATTGGCGTTGGCCTGCTTCCCATCCTGGGTGTGTGTGGCCCATTGCCTTCTGCCATTTGAAGCCTTGTTGGGAGAGTAAGTGTTGGCAGGGTAACTGGGACCCCCCAAAAGATGGGGAGGGGGAGATGGCAGTGATTGGATCTTTGGCTCTCCTACATCAGGTTTTGTGTGCCAGTCTCAATATAACTATGTATGTATGTATGTATGTATGTATGTATGTATGTATTGGAACTGGGACCCCAAAAAAGATGGGGAGCGGAGATGATAGTGATTAGATTCTTAGTTCTACACAAGGACTTGTGGAGGTATATATATATATATATTGGAACTGGGACCCCCCAAAAGATGGGGAGCGGCGATAGTGATTAGATTCTTACTTCTCCTACACAAGGACTTGTGGGGGGTATATATATTGGAACTGGGACCGCAAAAAAGATGGGGAGCGGAGATGATAGTGATTAGATTCTTAGTTCTACACAAGGACTTGTGGAGGTATATATATATATATATTGGAACTGGGACCCCCCAAAAGATGGGGAGCGGCGATAGTGATTAGATTCTTACTTCTCCTACACAAGGACTTGTGGGGGGTATATATATTGGAACTGGGACCGCAAAAAAGATGGGGAGCGGAGATGATAGTGATTAGATTCTTACTTCTCCTACACAAGGACTTGGGGGGGTATATATGTATTGGAACTGGGACCCAAAAAAGATGGGGAGTGGAGAGGATAGTGATTAGATTCTTACTTCTACACAAGGACTTGGGGTATATATATATTGAAACTGGGACCCCCAAAAAGATGGGGAGCGGCGATAGTGATTAGATTCTTACTTCTCCTACACAAGGACTTGGGGGGGGGTATATATATTGGAACTGGGACCCCAAAAAAGATGGGGAGCGGAGATGATAGTGATTAGATTCTTACTTCTCCTACACAAGGACTTGTGGGGGATATATATATTGGAACTGGGACCCAAAAAAGATGGGGAGCGGAGAGGATAGTGATTAGATGCTTACTTCTACACAAGGACTTGTGGGGTAATTGTTGGGGAACTAGAACCCCCCCCCAAAATTGGGGAGGGGCAGATGGCAAGGATTGGTTCCTTGGCTCTCCCAACACAAGGCCTTATTGAATGGATAATGGTTGGGGAGAATGGGACCCC